ATTTGTTAAGTGTATTACAAAGTTGTATCGAGAAAAAATAAACGGGTTTAATTAAGAAAGGATTTGTATCGCCTAAGTTCCTCGGAAAGAATTTATACAGGAAATTAACAAACGAGCAGATACGTAACAATATGAACTATTCGTCACGGTTTGGAATTACTAAACATTTTTGAAGCGAATAATTATTGTCCCTTCACTCAAATCTTTTGTTAAATCAGATCATATTCGTTTCCTCTCACTGAAATCTGTTGTTAGGTCAGAGGATATCATTGTTCTTTCACTGAAATCTGTTGTTAGATCAGAGGATATCATTGTTCTTTCACTGAAATCTGTTGTTAGATCAGAGGATATCATTGTTCTTTCACTAAAATCTGTTGTTAGGTCAGAGGATATCATTGTTCTTTCACTGAAATCTGTTGTTAGATCAGAGGATATCATTGTTCTTTCACTGAAATCTGTTGTTAGGTCAGAGGATATCATTGTTCTATCACTGAAAACCGTTGTTAGATCAGAGGATATCATTGTTCTTTCACTGAAATCTGTTGTTAGGTCAGAGGATATCATTGTTCTATCACTGAAATCTGTTGTTAGATCAGAGGATATCATTGTTCTTTCACGGAAATCTGTTGTTAGAACAGAAGATATCATTGTTCTTTCACTGAAATCTGTTGTTAGGTCAGAGGATATCATTGTTCTTTCACTGAAACCTCGTCTATTTAGACCAGCCATTTAATAAATTAATTAGTTCGTTATCATTAGCTGAATTAGAACTCGCATTATTTTAACCCAATATTCCTAAAGAATCCGCCCTATGTCAGAAATCTTTATAACAATAAAAAAACTGTTTTTCATATAAATTATTTTATATTATTAAATTAGTTATGCAAATATTCATAAGTACGTAAAATTTTAAAAATTTACAAGTTCTACACATCCACTACGCACGCCTATGTCTTGTTTCGTTTTGTATTGTGTGTAATGTTTGTGATAAGTAAAGATTTTTGTTGAATTGAATTATTTGTGTCCTTTCTCTTCTTAAACGACAAACCTGATTTGAATTTGAGGAAAAGTTCTCTCTGTACCTTGATATCCTTGAG